TGACGAGAGCTTAGAACGCGCAGTTTTGGCCAGAGGGACCGCAATGTTGCAAATAACGCGGTGCAAAAAATGTACGGTATATTAAAATATTTTTTTTTGATAAATCGATAAATAAAACCCCTAAACACGCCGGCTATGTTAATAGGCAGTTTTTGCAGAGCGTACGACACCCCTAAACTTCGTTTGGACGTACAGCGCACTGACGTTCAACCAGTGCTACCAACTTTCACGAGCGACTTGTTAGCCGAGTTGTGCAACTTTTTAAAATAACCCAAGTAAGTGTGAATGACTGTAAAAAAAATAATAATAATCGGGGTTTTCTTGGCCCTAGTGCAAAACCTCGTGTTTTTTTGTTTTTCGGTACTCTTTGATCTGTACTTTAGCTGTTTAATATCTTATAATTCGTCATCAAGCCTCTCGTAAAAGTTGGGGCCGTCAGTTTGACGTCGATGGGCTGCACGGCGAACTGAAGTTTTGGAGTGTCGTATATGTGCCAAGAGGTGTAAGGACTACGACATTTTTTTTTAGAATGATGAGCACGGCAACGCTCCTGGCGCGCACTGAAAATTGTACTTCGAAGGCACAGCGCGAGCCTGCGGTTATAATGCTACACCGCACGGTAGCCTGCGATAAAAAACTTTCTATCAATAACTATAGAGCAGTTTGATTACGTGTTGCAATACGCTAACACCGAGACGGCGAGCAGCGAGTTGTGAGCCTGTGACGCGAAGACACGAATACTGTGAACGCTGCTCTTCCGAAGCTTGACGGTCAGCGTTCTCGGCTCTTTTTTTTTTTAAAGAACTAACGGCGAGGCAAAGCCGCAAACATATCTTCATCGCCCTCAAAAATATTCTGCCACAAACAGTAACCTGGCCGGTGCCTAAAACGTGCTCGCTCACCCCAAAGCTTCGCAATTTGAGGTTTCTGCAACTTTTAAATAACAGCATGCTCGTTTTCCTAACGTGCATCAGCATCTACGTCACCTGTAATATGATCTCTTCATAACCGCTTTGCATTTGTAGACCAATAAATAATTTTTAGCGCGCTGAACAGCGTCAGCGCGAGCAGGCGCGCGGGATATCCTGGAGAATCTATCCCCGTCTCTTCCGCCATCTTGGAACTACCGCCCCGCCACCTATAGGGCGTTCGAGTTGCGAATAGCTGACATTGCGCGGGTCTCCGAAGAAGAGATCCGTCTTCTGCGGCACCCCGGAGCCGCGAGCGTGAAGTCGCTTGTCGTCCTCGCCGTCGTGACGCGCGTGAGAACGCGGAAGCCCCCGTCCCGCCCATCTCCGCACCCCGGGCCGGAGCCTCGGGGTGCGGCCGCGAGGAAACCCGTCGCTCGTCACTGGGTCCCTGACAGCAAATTGGGACGTCGGCACGCTGGGCGGGGCACACGCGCCGTGCCCGAGCTCGCCCGGGCCGAAGACGACGTCGCTGCGACGCGCGGGGCTCGGTGCAGGGCGCGGCTCCCGGCGACGGTCGCCAGGGCGAGGTTCGAGCCCGCGCGGCGCGCTGGGCTCTGATGGCGGGTCTCGCTTTCCTCGGCCGAAATCTGAGAAGGGACAGGGCGGTCGTTTGCTGTCTTCTCGTCCTCGAAGTTTCCTTGTGTTGTGACCAACACTACTATACACTGTTGCAATGTTTTTGAATCTACAGACCAGTGAGCGATCTTCACTGCCCAGCACGAGCTTGCTGGTCGCTTTGGAAAGCGAGTAAATCGTGTGCCATTCTCACAAACGCTGAAGATAGAGCCGGCCAGATGCCCTCTCTTTCCTATATTCTGTACTCCCGAGCAACGTTTTGTTGCCACGCGGTCAAAGCTATGCACCTACGGGTGCTTGCGCAACTAGAGCGCCGATTAAAGCTGCACAAGCGCACTCTTCACTTTTGAAGTGCTGCAGAAAGTTATCCGCGGGTATTTGACACCCTTCCAATTTTTGCAAACACGGAGCATAGCGCGCGGTCTTCATTAAATCGTGTTCCGATCTTCATCGTTGAGGGAACTAGAAACAGTGAATTCGTTTCGGCTGTTACTTTTTTTTTTTTACTTGTTTTAGTGCTCACCTTGTTTGGACAACAATTACCCTCTCATAATCCCGCACCCAGAATGTATTATTACATCTATCACGGGCTCCGTCAAACATAATGGTATACTGGTTCAGTTCGTATTTCATCGGAGTAGCATCGGCATACGCCATGTAAATTTACTCGCCCGTATACGCGGTGTTCGCCATTTCGATTATTACCTGCTTCCTCGATCTGCCAGCCGAGGGAAGGGGGGGGGGGGGAGTGGTGCCAACCCCCCTCCCCCCTTCCCCCCCCCCCCCCCCCCCCCCCCGCACTCACACACCTTTTAATACGGTAGTCGGGTATGCCAGGGAAAGCGAATCGTACAATGAGTCCCGGTGTCGTTACTGCTCGATCGACATTAAACCCTCTATTATTTTTTTGTATATATATATTTTTATTTTTCTTCCCTTTATGCACGTTAACCTGCATGTGGAATTATTGACCAAACTGCGGACGGCAATACGCGTCCGGCCTCGCGCGTACCGGCAAAATTGAAATTGCCGACGGAAATCACTTTGCACCTGCGTCGCCTGATGACTTTTGCTTCGGCTCCGGCTCGGGCCAACCTATTAACGGCTAGCGGTTTCCCGAGGCTCTTAGTCTTTCGTCGAGGCCGCGCTTTCCTGGCCGCCGGCGTCGTCGACGCTGCCAGAGGGCGTGGCTCTGTTTGGAAAGCTACTTCCCAAATGGAGCAGCCATTTTTTTTTTTTCGTGCCTGCATGGAAGCGAGTCGGAGGGGGGAGAAATTTGCGAGGATTAGCGCGCCGCTCCTAGCCCCCCGTAAATGATTGCATTTTCCGCCGTCGCGACGTTTGTTAGAACCCCGCGCATGGGAACGGGGGCGGCGAGAAGGAACACCGAGAAGGATTCCAAATGGTATCATTCTTCGGGCAACCGTCGAGGCCGCGTGAAAGTCACGTACGGTATGGTTTAGGGTTTAGTGTTGCGGTTCGTAAATTGGAGCCGCGTGAAAGGCGCGTTTGCGGTAGCCCCCGTTCTCACAGTGCTCACAGATCGTACAAAGGACGGTCTGCAGACAGTGGGGAGTTTTAGGGAACCGTTTTCCCACATCCGATACGGTACCAACTCCGCACATGGGAGTCTTCTGGGGCAGCGCATGCGCAGTGCGTACCGGAGGGCCCATCGTATACCGTATCGTATGTGCCAAGACGGTTCCCTAAAACTCTCTACTTTCTGAGACCCTCCTTGTGTGACGGTCGCAAACCGTATGCAGACATGCTGGAAGGTTTATTATATTAGGCTGCTTTGAAGATGCCTGAGCCGTGTCCGCGGATAAATCTGTCCTTATGTCCGCAGAGAAACTCCGTGTCTTTCGTGTGAGGAGTGCGATTGCGGCTTTAGGTGATGTCGTTGGAACGTCTTGGCGCACCGTTGGGTCGGGACGCGTATTTGGTAGAGCGTGTGGACAAAGGGGATATTCTTGCGCCCCCGTTGCTCCTGAGGACGCAGTCTCCGAGCTTTTTCTCATTACGCTTTAAGGCACGGCTCCCCAAATGGTTGCAACAGTAACAGTATTATGGTAGCACTATGCTAAAACGGTGCTGTTAAATGGCAATTGATGCTGCCTTTACTTTCTTTTTATCGTTTTTGGCGGGCAGGGTATCTCCAACACCCGATTTCACACTTTAATAAGAACACAACAACGACAACTAAGTTCTGTTTTGTCGAAATCAGCGGAGCTGGATTTTTACATCTTTCTTTTCTTAATTGCGCGCGATGATTGTAAACAGATTTCCCGAATATTCGAAGGTCGCCAACTTTCCGAGCCATAATTTGACCATTCTGGAAAATAATACTATCTGAAACGCATGTTCGTGGGCGAAACGCGACATAATTTTATTTCTGTTTTCGAATATAAACGCAAGCTCCGGCGCAACTGTTAAAAAAAAAAAAAAAAATGTTTTACGATGCTTCCGCACCGTGCGTGTTTTGATCGCTAAATACTGCAAAGTTTTAGTTCTGTCACCAATACATAAATGCATCCGCACCCAGATCTTCTGGCTCTATAATAAAACTAGGATATCACCGAATGACAGAAATTAGGAGCTGTAAAAGTTAACTCCTCAATGTATTCGATAGGTCATAGGGCATTCACGCCATATAGGGGTCAAAACATAAAGCTGTCAAAGCAGGTCGGATATTTTTTGCCTGTGGTCGCAGTTTCAACGTCTAGACGTCTTTTTGGAGAATTAATTGCTCCTGGTATTCTACTAGAATAACATCGAAAACTGTCCGAGCTTCCGGTAGTGTGTAATAAACACTGCTGTTGCGCTCAGCCAAAATAACATGCGTAATACGACATCATTAATTATATTTTGACCATAAGTTGCCCCGACGTTCCCGAATGCCTTGTCACGCTTATCATTGTTAATGGTCGTAAACAGACGGTCCGTGGTTTTTAGCAGATCTGCGATTGTGTTGCACTTGTATAATTTCCTTCGGACGTTACGTACAGAAAGAGATAAGAGATTTTGGATTTGAAGAAATTAGTAGTCACAAAAATGACGCTGGCTACTCCACAGTGAAAGAGAGAGAGAGAGAGAGAGACATCGGAGATGAAGATAGAAACAAAGAGAAGAAACAAACAGAGTAGCAAAGCAAAATGAATGAGTGCTGTAATACTTTATCTAGTATACTGCGAGTGGCACAGACGCGGAAGTCCAGATGAAAGAAATTTCCTAATGCGCGCTCGTAAATTTTGTGTTCGGGGTCGCTGTCACATTTCCGTCTATTATACAGTGTTCTTTATCCGTTCCAGGATACCTCGACATATATTTACTGAAATCTGAACCGATGTTAAATTGTCCTAGAGCGAGCCGAACTGCCTCGCGTCTGCTTTGCATATGAATGGCGAGAATGCGGATTAATGCCTCTCTTTAATCGTCTTCTTCTATCTGTTGCAGTTTCTCGACTGGTCTTGAAAGAAACTCTGAAGAGCACAGACTGTGACCGGCCCTGGGTCAGGACCCGGGTTGGCCGGAGGGACGTCGATGGCGTCCAAGTTGACTTTGAGATCGTGGTAAGTTCCCGGTTGCTGCCTTGTGGTTTTAGTGGTTTGGTTCTCTTTTCTGCCATTATGTGGAGCTCAAGTTCGTCTGCTTCTTGAACAGGGGTTGCGGTTACGTCAGAAAGCCGAGTTCTAATTGGCTCAGATTGGAAGGATGGTGAGTAGACGTCGACGCAGCTAGCATTCGGGTCTACCCGCTATCCTTCCAATCGGAGCCAACCAGAGCTCGGTGTTTTGACCTTAGGGAAAACCCAGCGCCAAAAGCAGACAAACTTGCGTTGAAAAGACGAGAACGGCAGGGAGAGGCTTTGGTTGTCCAGCCTCTAGCGCGAGCTTGCTGCCTTCGACAGCGCCTTGGCGTCTTGTGCACCTCGAGCACGCGCGCGCGAAGCTGAAGCACGGCTGAAAGCATAGAGCGCACGCTGGAAGCAGGGCGTTCAAAAGACAAGCTACGCAGTTCTCATTCTGTCAGTGATTAGAGATTGTGTAAAAAAAGAAATCTGAGAAACGTTTAAGAGAAATATTTGAAAGTCGCATTCGAAATATGCTTTCGACGGTATTTACAGTTATTATTTTTTTTTAAATTCAGTTTATTCGACAACGCAAAAAGTGATGCTTGTCAAACCCATCAGAGCCTCGCCGGCTTACTGCATGGAATTATAATGTAATTTATAGGTAATGACATCACTTTTCGAAAGTCAATTGTGGTCGCAAAGCCATTGAGGTAACTCGTGATATTGAATTCGTAGTGCTTATACTCCATCTTTCAAACATCTGCAGTGCAGACAAGGGCATGGGCACGAGCGCGTGGCTTTGGAAGGCGCCTCCTATGCAGGAGTTCTCGTACAAACAGAAGCATTCTGCTGAGCTAGGCTCACGCGCTTGTGCCTTTGTCTTTACTGCAGACATTTGTGAGATAGAGTATTTTGACCCTATTTGCGAAATTGAATTGTTTTTAATTCCTCTTCGGAGGAAGCAGTCTGAAATGGAATGGCATTTAAGAGTGCTTGAATGCGATCGCAGACCACTCAAACTGTTATTATTATTTTTTTTCCCATCTGTAAGTAAAGCATTGAAGTGAAATTTTGAGATTCTATTTTTTATTGTCTAGCTGTGTTCGCTAGGCTCCTATCAACAATCAAAGCTCAACAGGGGTGCAGGTAAACGGGCATTGCTTAAAGGGGCCCTGCAATGACTTTTTGACTGGTTTTAATTTGCACCGAACCTGAGCGCACTGAACGTAGTAACTTAATCAAACTTTTCTTTTCTCAAATTTCACTTTATTTTAAAAGTTATAGGCGAATTAGAATTACAAAAACAAGCAAAAAATAACATCCTTCATGACGTAGTAGGTCCTGACTTGAGTGGCCGTGAACTAGAGGAGGGGGAGTGAGCTCATCGAGCGTCCACGGTTGCCGCACTCCGGGTCAACGGCTCGAGAGGGCGCCACTAAAGCATATGTTGGATAGGCTCTATGAAGCGGGCGGCTGGGGCGGCTCGCATTGCATTTTCTGCGCGATTAAAGACTATTTCGGCATAACACTTCATTGGACACAAACGACAGCAAACACGGGGTAAAGATCAGTTCAGAACAAGAGCCACTTCGCGCTGCCATGCCGCCAAATGGCCAAATCGCCAGCAGGGCCCGCGCCGAAGGCCTTCGGAACGCTCGGAACCGGTCGGATCGTTGAGCCGGTATACGACCGCAGCGCCGCCGCGTACATCCGGGGCTTTTCTACGCTGGCCGTTCGTCGTAGCCTCATCCCACTAGTTCTTTCTAGTATGCGCCGTTTTTTCCGCCGCTTGGTGGCGGGTGTGTCGACGGGTCTTTTCTTGTTTCCGTACTTTATAAACTGCATTTGTTTCTTTTCTGATCTAAAATACTGAACAAAAACTTCTTTTATAAATAATTGAAACGGTTCGCGGCCACTTATATTTTGTATTTCGACAACGAAAAAGCTTTTAGCGGCTCTGACCAGTAGTAAGCCTAGGACCAAACACGTCACATTTTGCGCGCTTTCGGTACCGCGGGTCGCCCTCGTCGGTGGAGGTGGTTTCCGCGTCGTCCGGTTAAAATATGACGCACTGATATTTAGTTACTCTCTCCGTGCCCGCTGGCTTGCCCGGACCCCAAGAGACGTGGAAACCGCAAAAAAAGGTAGTTGCCTAAATATGATTGCAGGGCCCCTTTAACGCTTGCCTTTCCGAAAAAAAAAGAAAAAAAAAATACCAGGAGAGAAAAAGAAAAGAGAGCTCTCTCTCTTTCTGTTCGACACAGTTTGTGATGCATACCAGTCATATTTAAGAATCGGATACCCGAGCCTAGACAAGCGGATACCCGATAAAGGCAAATGCATTGGGATGAGTTAGTGAGAAGAAGACTCCCAAGAAAGTGGCCGGGCGTTCCTGAGAGATTGCGGAGCACGTGAAGCAAAGAGACATGACCCTCCTTTTGCTCTGTTCTTATTTTTTTTTTGTCTTTTATAGCGGGCGAATTAGTCAGTTACGTCGTCGGAGTGTGTGTCCTGAGCCAGAACACGTGCCGACTCGTAACGCTAGCCTGGTTAATCGGCTGTCGGCGTCGCGCGACCCGCGTTCCTAGCCCGCAGCGCTGCGCGGACAGCGAGGCAGGACGCGCATACCGCCCCGCGCGGTCGCACAATGGATGGGCCTCAGCTGAGTTCCCCCCTCGTGCCTGGACAGTCGAGACGGATGCGTCCCACGACTGGCCCATAAATAAAGGGCACGCGCGGGCCGGCGAGTCGCGCCGCAGGACCGACCACTCCGGGGGATCGAGGGCTCCTTTTGCAGTGTGCCTAGATTACAGAGTAGTTGCAACTGCTTAATCGACGTCACCACGTCGTTTATGCGGTGCACAAGTTCGTCTGCTTCTTTTGCTGGGGTCCCGGTGACGTCAGAACGACGCCGAGCTCTGATTGGCTCTGATCGAAGGAGAGTGGATATAGGCCTCGAAGCAAGCTGCCTTGAGGTCTCTCCACTATCCTTCAATCAGAGCCATTGAGAGTTGGGCGTCTTTCTGACGTCACAACTCTTGCAAAAGAAGCAGACGAAGGCTTTGTTCCAAAGTTTACTCGATACGACTCCGGAGTCAAGGTTTCGTACCGTGGCGTTTCAAAACTTACTCGCGCTTACTCGATGACGTCAGAACTCCCGTTCCAGAAGCGGGTTAATTGATTACTCCGGAGTAATCGCTCAGGTGACCCTCCTCGATCGGTGGGTAGCGTCGGATCAAATCGAGTAAATACGTCACGTGATCTGTTCGCCGTCAGCTCGTCGTCCGCTTTCTGCGCCCACAGCCGTCAAAGCTCGTTTGCTTCGTTGGCCTTGGTGGCAGACGCTCGAAATGACAGCTGTTTTCAACGCACGAATTGACTATGCACTACATCCGGACCGTGCACACTCCGCAGGAAGGTATACCCGTTGTTATTATCAGAGTACGAGCGTAAACATTATCTTCTTAGCATCACCGTCCACGACGATGGAGGGAACTCGTATTCTTACGTTCAAGTTTGAAAATGTTCGAACGCAGTAGATAATGTAAAATTATCTTCTTTTAGAGCGCAGCTCTTAGGGGCCCGTTCCCGGCTTGAGCGGCGTCGGCGTAACCAAGGTCACCCCAAGGTCACGCGACCCCCAAGGTCATCCCAAGGTCACGTGGCCCCAAGGTCACGTGACCTTGGGGCCACGTGACCTTGGGGCCCAAGGACCTCTGGGGGTCACGTGACCTTGGGGCCACGTGACCCCCAGAGGTCACGTGACCCCCAAGGTCACGTGACACCCGAAGTCACGTGGCCCCCCGAGGTCACGTGACCACCCCCAGGGTCACGTGACCCCCTCGCCGAGGTCACGTGACCTCCCCGATGACGTCATCGTCACTGATGACGTCACCGGCATCCGCATCGTCATCATCACTGATGACGTCATCAGTTACGTCACTGATGACATCATCGGCATCGTCACGTGACCCCCCAAGGTCACGTGACCCCCCCAGGTCACTTCACCCCCAGTACCCTTCCCTCCTCTCCTCAAGAGCTGCGCTCTAAGTCGGTGTTACAGGGAGTTGTAAACGGCTTTCACTTTTTTCTTTCCCCGGAGTGTGTAATGAGAGGAAGACGCTTGTAATGCCGTGAAGGTTTCGAAGAATTAATGTAAATGACCAATCAACAAACGTCACACCGTCTCCCTCCCTAAGAAATATGGAGGTTTGGAAGTTCTCTTTGTGAGTTTGTAATCATATTCGGATAAAATCGAACGTAAGTTATATATATCACCGTTGAGAAAGTCCCCTGAGCTGTACCGTTGCACCGTGTGGAAGCAACTTCCGCAGAACGTAATCAGTGAAAATTACGATGCGTGGAACGTATGCGTTTAGGACAGCTGGCGCAAGGACATCACCAGTACGTGTGTTTCGAGTCAGGATCAGCTCCACAGACCTGACATTGAGGGGTGCCGGGGGATTCATAACGTGGTGTGTTATAAGATCGCACGGAAAAGAAAGTGTTTGTGCCTGGCGAACGTATGCACCATTTGCGGCCTATTAGGTTGGGGGAGGAGGGGGAAGAGTGCGGTGGGACAGTCGTAGATTTTTCAGGCGTTGTCGTCGAGATGTGCTGCGCGCTTTTCCTTGGTATTGTAGTTCGAGGGCCACGGTTCAGGGTCGCTCGGAGACGTATTTGGACGAGGGGGGGCATGGGCCCTTTGGTTTCCTAATATCCATTGGTGTCCGGAAAGCTCACGATGAGTCAATTATGGGATCTACGTAGGAAAAACGGCCAATTATAAGGCGTAAAATGAAGTGGATCGAAATATGCAGACTGTGCCACGTCGTCAGAACGCGAAACGTCATACTCAGTGCAGACGTTATTTTACTCAACAAAATGTTTTCCGGCCTCGTCATATTATGTTACGCTTGTGTACACCTTTCCCACGATTATCACCCAGGCGGAAAATGCTGAGTCATTGGATTATGAACGCACGCCAGGCGTCCGATG